AGCACCTTCAGAGAAATGGCACCATTGTTTTCAGCATACTGTGCAGCTCCCGAGGTTTCTGTTTGAGCAGCGGGCTTCGTTCCCATTTGCGACAGTAAGACTTCTGGTTTTAAATCAGAATAGATCCATCAAACCTTTTCAGTCTGATTCATTTTGGACTCTCCCCTCCTTTAATAAACCTTGTCTAGGGTGGGGTGTGCACAGATCCTGCTGAACTGGCTCTGGAAATTCTGTGCTCCCCCATGCTTTACGTTATATATGATGTGCAGCATGCATAAGATGCGCCTCTGCCCAGGTTGTGCTGTGTTACAGCTCTTTCATACGTGCAAGTGGCCACACACACTTCAGACAGAGAAAGAAACTGCATTTACCAATGATTGTCATGAAGCACAATGAGCGGAGTGGGACTGTAGCAGTGTGAACTAAAAACCAGCAGCGGGGGTAGGGGAGATGGTTTGGGAGTTTTGCTTATTTAGGGATCAGAACAGGAATGAACTCAAAGAAAGCAGTGTATGTTGTGGGATTTACTTTGTGGGTGTGGATGTATGTTTCCCTTCTCTGTTAGGAACTTTGTCACTGCGGTTGTGCCTAGCAGTGTGGGTGAGCAGTTTACCATGCTCTCCTATCAGAATGATGGCATTTAGCCACTGTTCATGCTAACAGGTCTGTCAGGATGCCATCTTTCTGGTTCAGCTCTGCTCTGGTTTCTCTGCTGCTCAGCCCCACGGTTTTGGCCCTGCCAGGAGCTGTTGTGCTGTGGCTTCTCAGATGCCCTTGCTCCTGGTGCTTGGAGAGGAAGTCTGGTGTGCACAAGGAGGGTCTGGCACTCAAGCAGAGGGAAGAAACATCTCCAAGTTGTTCAGTGGGGCACGACCCCAGCTGAGAGTAAATCTGCCTTTCACCATTACAGATCCTGAGCAGGAAAAATCCCACCTGATCTCATTCAGATCTTCAAAGCATTATCCTTTCCTCGTACCTATAGATATTTTCTTCCTTTTATCTGCCTGTGAGCCGTAACTTCCTGGCAGCGGGTTTTCTGTGCCCTCACCTTTTCCTAGTGCAGATGGCAGGTGAGTGTTCTCAAGCAGATTTTGCCATCTGGAATAGCTTTCCTGTGCTCAGTTGGCTTTCATCACGTTTTACTGCCAGACAAGTGTTCTGAGGTCACTGCTGGCGTACCCAGCCCACAGCGTTAGCCCCAGGCTGCGACTGTTTCTGGTCACTGTAAGTTGTCTGCCAGGGAGGAAGCTAGCATTTCATCTCACCTCCTCCATCTCTGTGGCTGCATCTTTGTATTAATTGCGCTGTAGTGATATCTTAACACTGGTGCAGTACTGCAGCTCTTTGGGACTTCCTGTTACTTAACAGAAAGTTCAGCTTGTCCTTTGTGGGCTCTTCCATGAGCTCTGAAAGTCCTTTCTCATGTGTTATGTGTACAATCGAGTCTTAATCTGCAATTAAACTGGTACAGCAGAGGTGTTCTGAATGACGCATTTTGGGTTGTATGGGCAACAGCAAAAGCATCTGTTTTCTGCTTGAGAGGTCCAGGAGAAATACAGAGCATGGAATAGCGTGGTCTTTTACTTTCCCTTGCGTTTACTGGGGTGCTTAAATGATTCCATAATTGACTAACACTGTTATTTCCTCAGACATTGATTTTTCTCCCGGATCCAGGCTTTCCTTGTGATTTCTATCCTAAGTTCTAAAATCCATAGCATTCCTCAGCTGACAAATTTCTGCCACGAAACAGTCCTTGTTATTGTTTCACTGGTGAGAGATCCTTAGCCCAAGACGTCAGGGCATGCAATCCTTTTGTCTCGTTATTCCTTTTGTGGTTTTGCAGCCTTATTTGTTTGTTTTTTTCTCAATCACTAGTGTGAAGGGCAAAGCTCTGCCTGTAATCATCGGTACCACAGAGGCCAAAAACTCCTTTCTTCATTTACAGCATCCTGTCAAAAAACACTCAATACCTTCATTTACTTGACAGCCCTTGAAAGACGGCATATTTACACGTTCAGCATCTTCTCTGTGGAGGAAATAAGCAGTCGCTTACAGGCTATGCTGTTCTCACCTGGACTGAAAATCAGTTAAACCGCATTCTGGATTCCGAGGAGGAAAAAGTCAATAATCTTTTTTCAGTGCCCCCTGGTTACATCTAACAGTGGTATATAGTTAGAGGGTCAGCCTAGCAAAGTCGCTGTCTCGGTGGCTGGAGAAAATTGAGCGCCCCGCTTTGTTGCTAAATCCTATCGTGGTTACAAGGTATTTCATCAGTTAAAACACACTCTCTGGGTGTGTTTGTGTGGTCTGTCAGCCTGAAATGTAGCACGAAAACATCAAATGGGCACAAATGGAGATACCTCAGGTGCTTCAAAGTGAGATGTCACTGTGCTGAAAAATCGGTACCGAACTCCAGCAGCTCGATTCAAGGAAATTAAATTGGCTGATTCTTCCAGCTGTCCAGGCAGCAGGGAAGATTAGCAGGAAAGCTTGCAGACTAAGCAGGGAGGCAGTCAGTAAGGCATGTTTTAGCATCTCTCCCGCCCTGGGGTGCAGGTACCCAAGTGTGGCACCTCCATCAACCTAAGATCCAGCCTGTCCATGGAGGGCAGAAAACCAAGCAGGACTTGCTTTTTTCGGGTGTACACCAGCTGCATCGCTCCTTCCTGGGCTTTGAAAGGGCTCTGTAAGTCGTGTGTTTTTGCTGGCAGTGGGCCCTGGTGCATGAGAAGGGTGAAAGGGGCTTTCTCCCGCAGCTGTCCGTGCAGGGATCTCTAGGACATGAGGGCCAGAGGTTGGCTCCTTCCAGCATGGAGTGGGACTCAGACACGGGTTTATTTCCAGGCCTGTAGCTTATCTCTGATGGTTGTGTTGTTCTATAAAGCTAGATGTCTGAAAGAGATCAGAAGTGTGCTCTCTTGTTTTGGGGTCTCTTCCATGGGACAGCAGGTTTTTACAGTTCCCATTCTATGAGCAAATGTAATAAGTCCCATCTCTGCTCCTGAAGTACCAGCATCCTCAACATTGGCTTTGTTTGTCTCATTTCCCCTTCTTCCAAAGCCATAACTGCACAGTGCGTAGCAAGTACAGCTGTTGTGGTCATTTTTATGCAACTGTTTGTTTTGTTAATGCTCATCTCATCACAAATCCATTTACACATCCAGACCTGAGCCCACACCAGATGCGTGGCTCGGTGACTGTGTGGCAGTACTGCAGTGCTTGGCAGCATCGGGGCCAACTGGAACGGAGCTGCTTCTCCAGGAAGCATCCAAACATTCAGGGTTTTTTTGAGCTTGGTTTTGGTTCTCTTGGCCCTGTAACTCTGGCAAAGCTTGCTGAAAACCAAAAGGAACGAAAAAGGAAAAAGACCTTAAAGGATATTCTGCTTCCAGCATTACATATGATGTGGAGGGAAATAGATCTTCTGGATTGAGTTCTGTTTGCAGATCCAGCTGGCTCTTGAAGTAAGTGAGCATGAAAAGCAGATGATAAGTACGCACATATCCGGTACCTATCTGAAGAAACTGAAGTTATCTTAGAAACTGATATATACAGAGATCACAGCATCTGAAACTTTTCCCTCTGGCATTAAACGCAGCCAATGTTTAACAGTACTGAATAAAAATGTGACAGCTTAAGACACAGCAGCTCTTTCCAAGTGAACCTTCGGGGAGAACCTAGAGGAGAAAAATGTACGTTGAGATTTGGCTGAAGAATAGGGTTAATGCCATTTGTCCTTATCAAAACTGAAATGGCCGCAGGTAGGCAGGGCCTGGGTTTTGTATCTGATCCTGCGGACAGCAGTGCAGCACGACGCGATAGATCCCCGGTTCCGCTTCCTTCTTTTAATGAGGTCTGCCATCCAAGGATGGATATAGCTTGCTCTTGCACAGCCTGTGCATCTGACTGGTTCACAGCACACGGCCAAAATAATTGAAGGAGAATCTGCGTGTGGGAGGAAAGGAAATCAGCCGCACGTCGGCACATCCCGAAGCAGGAGTTAGCAAAGTGCAGCTTTTTGGCACGGGTTTGGCCACGGCTTCTGGTGTCACGAGCAGCTTGCTTTTTGCCAGCCTGCACCTGCAGTCAGCCGCAGCCGCATCCAGCCCACGTGAGCAGAGAAGGCAGGGGAGGGCTCCTCGTCTGGATCACACCAGCACCTTCCCTGCTCACGGCTGACAAAGCCGTTTAGCACAAAGATGGCTCAGATATTCCTCTGGTATGTGTAGTTTGCCCTCTGATGAACGCTGCGATTTTCTCTAGCCAGTCTCGGAGATGGGAGAACACAGATGAGCTTTATCCAGGCCTGAAGAGGCTGGAGCACATAAGCTGCTTGCCATATTGATGAAACACCTGGGGCATTCATTCTGAAGCCTAAACGCAGGCTGTTCACCTGGACTGCCAAGTACAACAGAAGCTTCCTTCTGGCTGGCAGGGTGTATTAATTTAAACAGAGCACCATCTGCAGGGCCTTGGAGAACAGCAGATCGGAGAGGAGAGGCAGAGAGGTTACTGGAAACAGTCTCGTTCTGATCTGGGGGCCTCCACTCCCATCCATTACCTATCATTTCTAATTAGCAGGCGCATCTTGGGGAAAGCTTCTCCGATTCACTTTCTTGCAGATGCTTTTCTTGCTAAGAGCTGTTGTTTTTGCTGAGCCTCCCAAGCTTATTTTGCAGGCTTTCACTGGCATTTGGAACTGTAATGGTCTCAATGACCCAGTAATTAAAGGAGTCCTGTACCTCCTGGACCAGAGAGCTGCCCCTTTGTCCTTCCTCTTTCTTCTCCCTGCAATGCCACTACCAGATGGTCGGAGGTTTTTCAACCCTTCAAAAGCCTCGTGTTTTTCCCATCTCATCAAGCATGTCTCAGCCATGCTTAATTAGCTTAAGGCTTTTCAACCACCCACCCCACTCCCCCTGACTCACCCCCCAGGAGATCAGTTAAGGACCTGAACAATTTCAATAAGAGCTTGGAAAGCAAATCCTCAGAGGGGAGGCATAGCTGCAGGAGGATGTAATATTAATGGTAGGGATCAGTCATTCGTTCTTTCTTCTCCCACTTCTGCCTGTCTGTCCATCCTCCCTTCCACTTATCTCCCCTTTCAGAATATCTGGGGATGCCCTTTGCTCTTTGGCAGTGCTTGGGAGCATTTGGTGGTGCTCACCCTGAGGCTGCCAACAGAATACTGTTGCTTTTAACCTGTTTCAATTAGGAAGTTCTGTTGAAGTCCTCCTTGAATAGGAAATGGCAAACATAATTAGCTAACCCATGTTAGGAGGCTCTTGGGTTGGAGTATTTTGGGTGAGTTTGTTTTGCTTTATTGCCTAATTCCTTGGCTGGTTTGAAAGTAGCTTTATTTACAGATCAGAGCAGTTGAGATGAAAGCCTGGTTAATTAACAGAAAAAATAAATTTGCTTCTTGCTTTGTATTTAACACGGAACGGCATTTATTTCTGCATTGTCGCATATGCACTTTTATTATTAATCTTCAAGCTTTAGCTGTACAACTGTAAATGAGGTTTAGAAACAAAACAAAAACTCTTTCCCTTCTTCCCTCCCTTCCTATAAAGCAATAGAGAGAGCTGTTTAAGCACGTGAAGCACAGGCTTAGTGTGGCATGTAGGATGTCTCAGAGGTACCTGCGGACGTTTGCTGTGTAATTGAGTACAGCATCTTTTGTTCCATGCACACAGGCAAATGAGAGCACCCAGCCATCGTGTGTTTGCACCGCTCCAATTAAAGACCAACTAATATAGCCACCTTGGAGATAAATATTTAGATATAATTAAAATGGCTAGCTGTAAATGCAAGAATCTAGCTGTGGATGATAGAGAAATGTGAGAGGGGGTTCTTGGCTACTACACAGCAATTTTCTTCCAACACTCCCCATCGGCTAGATTGAAATGCTGTATATGAGGCTAGATTGAAAGGTTGTTCTTACACTACTGCAAATCTTGGTATTTTTAAGGCACCGAGGGAAATAAAATGCAAAGAGCACACTCTAAATGAATGCACGATGCAGCACAGGAAAGGCCTGTAACATCGCTGCCTCCGTGGGAGTAAGTAGGGCTGTCGCTAAAGAGGAGCACAGCTCCCCAGTGCATTGGCACTGCTATTTACAGCCAGTAATCTTTGAAGTGCTAACTGCCCTTTTGTTTTTTGTGTGTAAGAGAGATGTTGCGTTTTTCTTTTATGTTTGTTTTCCACAAAAAGAAATGTTGGTTATTTTTATGATGGCTGCTGCTTAGTTGAGATCCTCTATGTAAAGATTACAGATGAGTTATGTGACCTGACATTCTCCCTGGGAATGTGCTCAGAACGAAGCAAGCCAGTGGCATTTCAAAGTCTGCTTTTAAAGTAGTTGGCTATATACTTTGTTTATCATAATTGCTACGATGTGCCATTTCTCTGGTATTTTGCACCTTCTCTTAATTGACTGCGAGGCAGAAAGCCTTTGGGCAGAGGCCCTGAGACCCAAAGGATGCATACCCATACTGAGAACAAAATGTGCCACTTGAGGCTGCTCCGTGATCCCCATCCTGTGAGAAGAGCTTGAAGCAGTCAGGCTTGCTGTGGGCTGTGGAAATGAAGCGAGCTCTAACCCTTCAAGAGCACCTGTAACAAGTACATGTTGCTGGGCACACTTCTCAATTACTGTGCTGTTCATCCTCTCACTGTGCTGTGCCAGGTGGTGATTTGAGCACTGTGGAGGAAACCAGCACTGTAAGTGTTCGGCTTTGAAGGGGGTTTCACATCCTGCTAATTGAAATCTCTGCTCCTCCCAATCACGTATCACCTTGTAGCCTCCTACTTCCTCCATGTGCCATGTCTATTAGTGTGGCTCCATGCGAGCTGACAGTGACAGTGAAAGGCTGTCCTGGAGATGAGGCACTCACTGGAGCACTGGGGGCTTCCCAGTTGCTCACTGAGCAGCCCCACTGCTTACACCCCGTGTCTCCATGTGGAGAGCAGAAAGAGCTGGGCATCTGTGCCTGGCTGGGAGGTGGAGGAAGGACCAGCAGGGCGGTGCTGCCTTGGCTCTGCTTGGCTGAGGACACCAGAGAGCCCACCACCCAGCAGCGCCCAGCACCTTCATGGCAAGGTTAGCACGAGTTCTGTCTTTCTGCAAAAATACTTTGATCCAGTTCAGTGTATCAGCAGGAATTTTGTTTTGGCAAGAAAGCAACTACTTTTTTTTTTTCCCCCTACATTTCACTGGTTTCTTGTTTCTGGAGACTTCACAGTTTTGTGGCTAGAAGCCTCTCGTGCTTAAAGCTATTGGCCCTCCTGTGAAATAAAAACTGTTTGAAATAAAAACAGCTAAGGAGGAAAAGGAAAAAAAAAAACACCGCAGCCTTTCCCAAGGCCTGACATTCAGATTGCTTTGCAGTGCCCCCTGGAGGGATGGCCTTTGGTTATAAGCTCCACTACATCACTGGAGAGCTGGCTGCACACGACCGCAATGGCAGCCCTCCAAAGACTGAACTTTAATGATGAATGCCACGAAATGCTGCTACACAGGCTCACTCTGGGGAAAGTAATACTGTGTACAGTGTGTGATCTATGTCACCTGGAGTCCTTATCATTTCTTTCAGCTATTTGCAGAACTCTTTCGTGTTTGGGCTGTGGAAGGAGAGCATTAATTCAGGTTTAGTAAACATGAAGATAGGCAGAAATAAAATGAATCTGCACTGTTAAGCTTGCTATAGCAAACATACCTTGGGAGAGCAAAAAGATGCTGAGCTGAACTTAGCGAGCTTTAATTTGGGTCCATTTTCATTGTACTTTCTTTTGTACCATAATTGGTATTATTAAGCAGTCTCCTGGGCTATGAATTACTGCTATAGTAAGGAAATGAAACAACTGAAGAACTTTGCTGACTGGGAACATGCAGAAGGAGAAGCAGGACCTATTTAACCATTATTATTATTAATGTCTTCTCCAAGCGTTGTTAATATCATCATTACTGCCATACAGACATGCAACAGAGCTCCCTAAACTTCAGTTGATAATAACATTGTGCGAGGTGCCGTACGCTTAGGTCTCTATCCAGAAAGCACACAGCCTAAATCGTGTATCATGCCATGCTTATCAGTACAACCAAGGCATCCGTTAGATGGATTTCCAACATAGTTGTGTGGCTTTTTTACATGTATTGTCTGCGCCCATTAAGATTTCTCCAACTCCTGCTGGTTAAAGAGTTAGCTTTGCTCTGCCAGAGGAACTGTTGCATGAATGACCAATACGTACCTGTCGGTGCTTCTGCCAGGCAGAAACACCTCTTGTTCTTCCCCCCATGAAACATTCTTACAAAACAGAGAAAAAAAAGACTTGCTATCTTTTCAATTAGGAAGTTTGCTGTTGTTTTTGTTTTGTTTTGGTGAGTTTTTGTTGTTTTTTTTTTTTTAATCAGAAGTCCCAATACTTCTATTAATTGAGAGCTCTCTGCTGCCAACCTTTCCCCAGAGCAGTAGGGCTACCCAAGGAATACAGAGTTCTGTTTTTCTAGAAAGTCTTTACTCCTAACACATTTAGTTTTTCTGGCAATTCAACTCCATTGCCAGTGTATCTACAGATGATGGTTAGACTTGATAATTTTAACTGTCTTTTCCAACCTAAATGATTTGATGGTTATAAATAATTTTGGCAAGAGCCAGCAATACTTCTCTGGCAGCTTTGGGCTTTTCAGGCTACTTTTGTAGGACTCCCTGAAAACAGAACAGTTCCCATAAAACTGTCTGTAAAAAGAAAGGAAAAAAAAAAAAAAGTATGTAACTTGATAGGGGAAGAGATTTTGTTAGAAATATTTTGATCAACTCCACATGTGCCTTTGCAGCCAGCTCTTTTTGCAGCAGGACCACCCGCTGCACGTGGGATGCAGCAGCTCCAGTGGCCTTGGTGCAGCCTCAGGTCTGCTGCAGTATCCCAGCCAACCTCCAGCTTCTTTCCAAGCCAGGCACTCTCATATGCTGTGGCAGCAGTAGGCAAAATAGTCACACCTCTGCAAAGTGCCTCCTGCTGTGGTATGATGAGGAGGCTCACCCTCTCCTCCTCCATCCCTGTGTTTGAGGTATATCTGTGGCTTGGGTAAGGTTCTGGTTTTGTTCTGTCTGCTCATTTTTGCAAAATCATGTTTCTTGAACTCACCTAATGTGTGTAAATACAAACTGGCCTCCACTGTGCAAATTCCTCTTCAACTGTGGTGCACAGTGCTGAAGTCAGGGTCAGCCTCATCCAATGTTACAGCAAATTACAGTGTGTACAACCAGGATGGGAATCAGTGGTACTCAGTGCTTTCGGCCATCGTAATGTCAGCTCCAGGCATTGTGGATATTCTGTAGGAATAAAGCAACTCATTAAGACACACGGGTTATTTGCTCCCCTCACCACCAAATATTCACAACATCTGTTCACCGAAAGGCCACAGACTTCTAACTCAAAGCACAGCTCATTCAGAGACCCATTTTAAGTGCTTATATCAGATTAGTAACTAAGTAGGCAAAATATTTGATCAGGATTTGCTGTGAACTAAGAACTCTCTTGGCAAGGACTACCTGTTTTCTATGTAGCAGTTCCTCCCTTCAGTGAGTTTGTAGTATTTAAAATAGATTTGATGTGAAAAGACCAATCCAAGATGTTTATTTTGTTGCCTGGCTTTCATTGTATACATAGAGACATCTTGTGAATGGTTGTGAAAAGAAGTTGTTTGAGACTCCTCAGGCTGTTTGTCAGGCTGAAGGTTTTTAGTGCACTGAAGTGTAGTGAAAAATGAGAACTATAAAGCAATATAACGCGAATTGTCTAGACCTTTAAACCTACTCAGGAAATCAAGATATATATGTATTTTTAAAGAAACTCAATAAACCTTGTTTTTAGGATTGTGAAATCTGCTATTGACAGGGCTGAACATAAACACGGTTCAAGGCCAGTGACTTAATTCTAGGTGACACCACTCCTAATCCTTTCTAGCCGAATCCTTCAGTTTTATCTGCGGCTCTGGGAAAAGGTCTGTCAAGGCTGAAGTCACTTGCACGAGGGGATTAGCAATTTTTGCATTCTTTTGAAAGCTTCAGTAATTCTCTTGAAAGTAACAGATGCCAAGGCATTTGTGGAAACTGTGGGCAGTGGCAAGCCTTACACTGGCCTGCAAATTCTTTCAGACCTGGGCCATGAGAAACAGCGCACATCTGAAGCCTCCAATTCCAACCTTTGTGCCATGTGTGCCGGCAAAAGCTCTGTGTTGTCTTCTGTCTGTGAGTAATCAAGGGGAGGAGAAGAGGGGAGATGTTCCTTCTGATTGACCCAGGGGTGGAATCACTATATTGATTTCTTTTCTCTTTTTTTTCTTTTTTCAAGCCTGGAATAGTTGAAAGCTGTATTATAAAAAGGCTTTGGGCTTTTTAGTGAGCTCATGAGCTAAGAAGGTCTTCATTAGAAATAAATCATAAAACATGATCCAAATCCAGCCATCTGAAGGAGTTTAGCTGGAGGAAACGCTTTTAATATGTGCAAGTCATCTTCCTTCAGCAAGACAAATGCCTGCCACTGTCAACTGCTAATACAATTATTCTCTTCTGGCATAATTGGTAGAGGTCTTGCCTTTGGTGCTAAGATTGCAAGTATAAGCCTTTAAGTTTTCTAGCACCTCATAATGGGAGGATGGTATTACAGAAGGGCTGAGCACTATAACATGCCAGCCTGGGTTTCAGTATTTTATGTGGCATTTGACATTCTGAGCATCCTGGGGCTCAGCTGTATGCTGGCTGACCTTCAGGACATCTCACTGCAAGGAACCCTTGTTAGCCATCAGTTATTAGGAAGATGTGGGGGAGATGCTACAGACTTGCTCAATAGCTTGGAGGAAAAGTATAGTTATCTTATTAGACTTGAGAGTCTGCCAATTTTCATGATAGACACCAGTTTTATTAGCAGTTCTGTAAACTGTTGAGGGAAAAAGAAGGCAAAAGCCAATTTGTTGGCTCTAATGTTGCTGAGCTCTGTAAGCACAGGTCACAGAGGTGGTGTCATCTCCAGTGCGGTGAGCGTTGGCATTGAATTCATGAAGCCAAGTTTAGGACTCCAGATAGGTGGCTTGGTTTTTCAAAAACGCTGCACACATGCCAACTGTGCTGTGAAATGGCATCCTTTGAAGCCAGCTGGAGCTGCTGGGTGCTTGGAGCTTTTGAAAATCAGGATCCGAACTCCATTTTAAAGTGTTCCTAGCTTCAGTCACCTGATTCTGAAAATACTGACCTACGTCTGCTGCTATCTAGAGCAATCCGCACGGTAAAAGTGTGTTTGATGGAAAGGAGAGATATTCTCTCCAGTGATGAAGGGAAAAATCTTGGTCTATTTGAAAGCATATTCTCTCTCAATGGAAGGCATTGAGACGAAAATGAAAGTTTGTTCCCCCCTTTTTTTCTTAAAGACTTTTGTTCACGCTGTGTATTGTGTGGTTTGTATCTTTGGCCTGCAGTTTCTGTTTTGTGCCTGAAGATATAGCATGACTTGGAGGAATCTAATATCTCAGAGTGCAGTCAAGATGATTGCTGAGGAAAAAAAGAAGTGCCAAAGCTTTCCAAATGAGTTGCTCCAGGTCTTATCCAAAGTAATTAAGAAAAGTCAGTAATGCTCTCGTCCTAATCCAGCATTGGTCTGGCTTTCCATTTGAAATTGCTTCCTTTTGGTACAAGTACATCTCTAATAAGTGTGAAACCCAGAGTAGATGTCTGACCCTTTTCTCTCCTGCTGGTCAAGTTGCCAGAAGAACCAGTAACAGCAGAATGGGCCTCTTCCAACAGTGGGAGTAAACTCATATGAGAGGAAGTGTAATTAGGAATAAAGCTATTTGGGAGAGGGTAAGTCCTCCAGTACTTCTCCTACTCTGCACTGGTAAGCTGTAGATCTGGTGGATCATTATGTGCCAATGCTGGTAGATGTCAGGGTTTATGAACCTGACTGAGGACCTCTCTAGAATGATTTCCTGTGGCTGTAATGCATGCTGCTGGCTTTTTCTTACTCTCCACTAGTGAGTCCTTCTGGACTGTTCTGAAGAAGAAAAGCTGTATCTCGTAATCAGCAAGCTCTTCCTTGGGGCTGTCTGCTTCCCATTTTTTTTCAGGGAGCTTAGAAGAAACAAATTCACCTTCCTCTTCTAGGTGTTACACTCCCTCACCATCCTCAGGGGCTTCTCCCAGCCTTCCCAATACCCTATAGCTAGAGGTGAAGGCAGGAGCAGCATGGGGAGGGAGTGTTCCAGAAATCAAGAGACAGGAAAAAAGAAAAAAAAAGGATAACCTTAGAATGCTGACTCATTGGAGAAAGAAATGTTCAACTGAAAGCAAATAATCCAGACCCCTGTTTTACAAAGCCGAGGTCAGTTGAGAAGTACTTTGGAGCTGTTTGGAAGTGGAAGGATTATAGCTGTTAGTATTCTTTGCCTTACATTATCTAAATGTAAATGTCTGTCTCTGATGTAGCATCCTAGTTAGACCCTAGAATTTATGAACTGAGGGAATGATGAAATGTGAAAAAGTTGAGAAGAAAAATGTGCAGCTCTGTCTTTTTGTAATTCTTGCTGAGAGCTGATATAAATGGAAGACAAATCAAAGGCAACAATAGCACCATGCATTTTATCTCGCACACTGTGATGCATATTAGTGTTGTTTCCCATTGTGAGCCCAGAAGAACATTTACAATTTTAGAAAACACTGCATAATGACTCTCCACAAGGAAGAGAAGCTAGCATATGACTGCCAATACTGACACTTGCTTTTTTCTGGCCTGTGAAATTATTTTCCTAGAACCTCTGAATGGAAAAAAAAAAAATTACAACCCTGCACTGTGAATTTTGAATTCTGCCCTAAATTTTCTCCGTGAAGCAGAGCAGATAGATGTGGTGATATTCTATATCCAGTCTTTGACCTTGCCAGGAAATATTGGTCAAACCCATCAACATGTGACAATGATCTTCTAAGGTATGGGTAATACCACCCAGGCTGGTGGATGACTCTTTTCCAAGGCAATCCACCGAAGATTTCTGTTCAGTTTTGCTTTTTACAGTTTTGGGAACATTCCTGGCTTTGTGGGAGGAGGGTGAATGTCAGGAGGACTGGAGTAAGTATTTTAAGTATTAAACACCAGCAGTGCTATTGCGGTCTGGTTCTGTACCTCCCTCGCTCTCCAGAATGTCAGTAGTAAAGCTGAGTTGTAAAACATGCCATTGAAATGTGTGGAAATGAGTGACTGCCATCATCGAGCTGAAACACCCTTAGTGGTAGCTAGGCTGCTTTTTTAGACTTGTCTCAGTTTGGGGATACGTAGCATGCTGTTTCCTCTAGCAGCATTGTGACTTAGAGAATTTTGATCCATTCATGGCTTGCTTCTATGCACTCTGAGTTGAAAGGAGGATGAGATCATTCCCTGCTGGCACAGGACACTCAGATAGGAGCCAGCTCTTGCTCTGACATAGCAGTGCTGAGCTGAGTGCTGAAACCCGTAGGGCCAGTGCCAGGTGACACAGGGAGAGCTTGAACTCTACTTCAACTCCTGGTGGCCAAATGGAGCGGTGGGGAATACATCCCTCCTTTCTCTCCGGAGTTAAATCTAAGGTGTTTCATCTTTGCACCTTCCTTTTCACTGAAGTGGCCTGCTGGGCTTTATCTTATAACAAAATAAGTTCTAGATATTGCCTGTGTATCTGAAACAGTCCTCTGCTGAAAGCCAGGCACCAACAAATTCAGCATTTAGTTCCTTTGGAATATGAAGTACTGTGATGGCAATGTAAGCACCCCCATAATAACAGGTGAAGAGGCAAGTGCTGAACATTGCTTTCAGTATTAAACTGTGGCTGAGTTGACCTGGAGCTCTCAATTAGAGACAAGAACATCAGGCACTTCATTATTGGAAATTAGAAAAAAATAAATTAGAAAGGCAGAAGTCCAACAAGGAATTACTCTGGCCAGTATTGTTAAAGATAATAAAAAATGTTCTTACAAATATATTAACAGCAAGAGCAGGGCCAAGGAGAATGTCTTGCTTTTTTTGGACGTGGCAGGGAACGTTATTACGTGGGGTAAGGATGAGGTTCTCACTGTCTCTTGTGTTTAATCATCAGGCCAGTTATCCTCAGGGTGCTCAGCCCCTTGAGCTGGAAGACAGGGATGGGGAGCAGAATAAACCCCCCATGATTCGAGAGGAAACGGTTACTTGCTGCACCACCTGGACTGTCAAAAGTCCATGGAGTTGGATGAGATCCACCCGGGTGTGCTGAGTGAGCTGGCAGATGTGATTACCAAGCTTCTTTCCACCATCTATCAGTGGTCCTGGTCAACTGGAGAGGTCCCAGACAACTGGAGACTTGCTGATATGATGCACATCTACAAAAATGATTGGAAGAAGGATCTGGGGAACTGCAGGCCTGTCAGCCTGACCTTGGTATTGGGGAATAGAATGAAGCAGATGATCTTGAGTGCAATCGCACGATATGTGCCAGACAACCAGGGGTTCAAACCCAGCCAGCATGGGTTCACAAAATGCAGGTACTCCTTGACCAACCTCACCTCCTATGGCCAGCTGACCTGCCTGGTGAATGAGGAAAAGGCCATACATGTGATCTACCTAAACTTTGGCACTGACTCCCACAGAATTCTTCTGGAGAAGCTGGCAGCCTATGACTTGGAGGGGTGAAATCTTTGCTGGGTAAATAAGTGGCTGGAGGAATATTAGGAAAAATTCCACCTCAGAGCAGTGATGCAGTGGCACAGGTTGCCCAGGGAGTGGTGGAGTCACCGTCCCTGGAGGTGTCCCAGAGCCGTGGGGATGTGGCACTGAGGGACATAGGCAGCAGGCATGGTGGGGGTGGGCTGGGGTTGGACTTGGTGATCTTGTGGTCTTTTCCAACCTTGATGATTCTATATTTCCATGATTATATTGCAGTGCTTTGACGTTGATTCTAGGAAACCATCTTCCCCTACTTAATCATCATTTTTCTCTTACATTTATCAAGTAATCAGTAGAAATTTAAAATGACAGCAGTGCATACAAGGTAAGTAATATTGGACTTGCAGTATGTTTGGTTTTCCTCTGAGCCCTTTGAGGCCTGACTAGTGTTGACTCACACGTTGTAGAGGAGAAAGACATGCTTTCACTGGAGAAATGGGAATAACAATCAGCATTAATGACACACTGCAAAAGCAGCGCAGATCTCCAGAAGCCAGATTTCATTGATGTCTTCCACAGAGCACACAGTGCTTCCCCAGCAGAGTGAGGAGGATCACCTTCAATAACACAGCCAGCACTGTCATCTGTCACCGGGCTGTCCCTTTCTTTACTGAGGGAAAACAACGCCAAGCCATTTATGTAAAATTTCTTAGTGCCCTTGATTGTGTGTGTGCATGTGGTGTTTAAATGCCTGTTATGTTTTGGTGAGTCACCACCCAGGTCCAAAGCAACACACCTGAAAAACACAAATAGGTGAGGATTTCAGTAGGGAAATGATTTCTTTAACGTAGATTTGTGTTAATCATCATGTAGTCAAAGCTGACTGTAAAGCTTTAAAAGACTCCAAGTAGAACTCTTTCAAAAAACAAATAACAAAAAAAAACCCCACAACCTGGATTCAGTCATTCATTTGTTTTTGAAAAATGATCATCACGTCTCTTGGTAGGGGAAAAAAGATGGTAAGTATCACCTGTAAGGTCTTTGTGATTGAGTGCTGCCAATTACCACTTTTCTTTCCAGCGAATGAGTTTCATATTCCGTTGAGCTTAATTCTAGGAAGCTAGCAGGCGTACAAAATTAAAACAGAGAGCTTGGCTGTGTCTTGTTAAGCTTTTGGAAATGGAAGTGCTCTTTCCAAATAGTTTCAGCCAGGTGTGAGGTGAACAATACCTCTAGTTATCCAAGTTTTTAGGAAGTGGGATTTTTTTGTTTGTTTTGTTTTAACAAGTATGTGTTTTTCACTTTTTCATGCTGACTGCTGCATCTTTGCATCACAAAATGCTTCAAAATTACAGTGTGCCTGCAAGGTACCATCCATTAACAGAACTTTGCTGAACTTTCTTGTGCTCTCGTCACTGAGAACATTCTGTTCTATTTTAAGCCACCAAATTTAGGCTGGGGTCTGTGGATGAATAAAAGGGAAGCGTCTCTTTCTCTCCCACACAGTATTTTGTTACTGCTTTTCAGGTAAAACCATACACTCTTTATTTACCCTTCTGCTGCTCTTCCCTGCCACTTTGAAGCTCATTCTTCATACGCTTGGCAATAGTCTCCTTGAAAAGGAATTGAGCAGAGTATTTTCCAGGGCTCCTCTTTGACTTAGCAGTTATCTCTTTCAGAAGCAGTGACCCCAGAAGTAAATGTTTGCAGTTGTAAGGGTGAGCAGCCCTGGCTACACTCTATCAGAAACTTGGGCAAAGCCTCCTTTTGTCCCATGCTCACGGCATGCTTTTTCACCATGGTGTGCTCTTCCTTGTAGCTGGGGTTGGAGACTTAAAATACATGGGTGCTTGCTTGAGAGTTTGGGTATGTTTGGAAGGGATTTTTCTCTCTACCAGCTCTTGAGCAAGTGGCTGTTTTTGTCTTTTCACATTCTTACTCCCTCCCTCTCGCCCCTTAATATGATTCAGTTTTCCAATAATTATCATTGTTATTTGCTTGCAGTGCCTGCCTGGTGCTGGTACAGCTGCTCAGAGCTGAGGGTTGATGTGGTTTCTTCTGTTTGGGGCGGCTCCTGTAGAGGGGAACCAAAAATTTCTTTACCGTTTCTGAAATAAATAGCGTGCTGCTCTGATAAATCAGACCTGCTTATGAGATCCAGGACCTCTTTGCTTTCACAATCTATTGCTTTGCTGCAGTTGCATCAGGATTATTTGAAATGCTCAGAAAGTACGGCGAATGCAAAATTGAAATGGAATAGGGGCACAGTGTGTGCTGATGGAAAATCCAGCAGCAGGGCGAGCTATTCAGTTGTTCGTGATGGAGGGGAAAGCAGGGCCTGCGAAAGCTATTGGGCACCTGGGTCAGCTCTTCAAAATGAAGGATTGCATCCTCACTCTGGATTAGTCGTGCAGAAAGGCATTAAACCTGCTCTACAAGGATAGCTGGAGACAGACAAGAAGCGTGGCAATATGTGTGGTGGGTGTGCAGGAAAAATGCATCACTGTGAGTGTGGATGTCCAGGCATCATTTGGGCAGCTGGTGGTTGTTCCAATGCTTGAGGAATAAGAGGCATTCTGCGTGCCCAAACATCAGTTCTCCCTGATGGAAGCCAAAGCTCGGAAGACCTGGAGGGTTCCTCTGGATCCTTTATGTGTAAGGATCCTCCAGTGCAGCCATTCCTTGCATCCATGAGTGTTTTAGCAACAGGAAGCTGGAGGTGATCAGGAACTGAACTGTGTAACTTGTGAATTTGGTAAGCAGTTACAAGTGACAGGGAAAATAACAGAATGGGAAAGGAAGGTAAATAATGCTGTTTCTAGAGAACTCTGTATTCAGAACACCTACACTTTTGAGCGTGCTGTCTGCCTCCTTTACAGACAGGGAGGTGGAGTGCAAGAGCTCTGAAAGCAGCTCGGGCCAGGTAATCTGCTAGTTTGAATACTACCCGGCAACATTTTAGTTATGTTAACAGTCAGCAGTCAAAGAATTCAATTGAAAGCCTCTGGGTGCTCCATTTCAGATATTCCCTGCTGTAGGGTTCTTCTTTGATGAGAGGTTTCACAGAAAGAGCATCTGGAAAACAGCAGCATGGCCTCTTTGTCAGAAGAGAAATTCAGAAAGGCCTTTTCTGCGAATGATATGCCCTTGTATTCATCAAGAGCCTGCTGTGTGCAGGTCTATCCTGTTGTTACAGAGAGACAAAAGAGACAAAGAGCTCCTGATGGGCATTAGCGACTTTAGAGACGCCCAATTTGTATGGGTCTTACGGACCAGATTGCTGGGAGACAATCCTCCCTGCACTCCCATTCCCACCTTTAGGGAAAAAAAGGCATAATGAGATTTACTAAGAGTATATTTAATAAAGAACCGAAAAAGGGTAGGGATAAGCACTTCTAAGACACTCTTAAATCACGTTTTAAAAGAATTGCCGTTCAGCTTGAGCCTGGAAATAACAGAGCCTTTAGGTACAGACGCGTGCACAAACACAGAGCTGACGCGATGCACGCTGCGCCGCGGGGACGGGGAGCCTCATCGCTCTGCTGCTCTTGGAGACAGAGCCAAAATGCCACAAGGGAGGGTAAACACTCGATTTAATGATGAAGGGGCTGCAAATCCTAACAGCGGCATTAAGAAATGATGCTCAGCTCTTTCCAGCGCCTGGCAAAGCTGGCGTCCCAGCCAGCGCTCCTTCCTCTGACATCTCGAGCTTTCTTTTCATCTCTGCGGCGCCTAATTGCCAGGGAGTTTTTTGATCAAGGTAAAAGATTCCTGATTGAACAGATGGAGACGTTGGTTAATGAAGCTGCACTGAATAGAGCCTCAGACTCGTACTCGACCCGGATGTCACAGAAGGATGGTGAGGGGGGAATTGCCCCCAGCCTTCAGCGTAACAAAATTAAGCAGGGCTGTGGCTGCTGTGGCTCAGAGCCCTGATAGCGGGAGGTAGGGCACTTCTGCATATAGAACCATGCAAAAATGCAGTGTAAATCTTATTTGTGGGGGTATTTGGTGTGGTCGAAAGGGGTCAGTCATGCCGGATGGAGGTGGTGAACAGAGCAAAGCCAGATTCTCCAGTTCCTAAGTGAAGCGGCATTTATGCTACCAAAACGCAGTAGTAAACAAAGTACACGAAGGCTTGACAGTAACATTAGCAAACAGCTACAGTGAAATGGCTGGGAAGAAGGAAAAAAGCAGCCCCGACTATTTGCAGAGCAGGAGAAGTGGAACTAGTTTTGACAGATAAGACAGTGCAGCTCTGGGTCACAAGAGCTCTGTCTTTCATTTTTGTTGCTGCAGATGGAAAATGGTGCCTTCAAATTTTAACTGGAGAAATTCAGATTTTAACGAGCCCCCATTTCTCACTGTCTCCCAATTAGGGGAAGCATATTTACAGCTAAATGTAGAGTAATAAATTTAATTTAGCGGCTGTGTGTTGCGGAAATCTGCATCATTCAGAATAGCTACAATGTAATTTTCATATTACATAATGACCGAGATGTTTTTTTCAAGGTATATAACCAGAGTAGAAGTGGCTGCTAGACACATAACTTACATCTGGTGAATTTCCCTTGGTTGCAAATGGTCCATGGGCAGAAGAGCAGTTTATTGGAAATCCTGTAGCATTACCCAACAAATCTGTTCTGTAGGTATTTTTCAGGAGTAACAACCTTGCCATTTTACCTGCAAAAAACCACTAGTGGCAGCCTTGGACTGTTGTTATGGCTAACTGCTTTTCTTCAAGAATTCAGAATGATCCTAAGGCAAGGATTTTGCTCTTAGTTACAAGGCTTCTAACGAACATTGGGGATTTTTTTCAGATCCGCGTTATCTTGGTGTTGCCCGATTGTACTGGCGGGACTCATTCATACATGAAATCTCATTTTTCTGTTTGTCTTAAAGCTTGTCCATGGTACTATAACTGGAAATTCACTGCAGAAATCCAGGTTCCTGCTCTGGAGCCCAGAGGCACCAGGAGGGCTTTGGTGAGGCTGGGCTCAGCCACGAGCACTCCATCTTCCCGACTGCCTCACAGTCAGCAGCAAATCAACCCCCTAGAGTCAGGCTGATCTCATTGGTTCTGGAGAGACTTGAGGTAGGATTCTGCTTTGAGTTACCTGGGAGAGGAGCCTGCCTCTTTCTCCTGATGACAGAGGCACTCTTCAGCACACAGCAAAGCCTTGCTGATGATCAGGTAAAAAAAATAAGTTGTATGGATTGCTCTGCATTACAGCTCCTAAGCCTGTATCATTGCCTACGTATAGACATAAATCTTGTGCAAGAGGAGGAGTTATACTTCTCACTTGCTAATTTATCAGGAGTGTGGAGAATGGATATAGGTATCTTACCTCTCTGTTCATTTTAATTTCGTGAATTGCATGCGAATTTGAAGTTGTGTTTCTCCAGAGGAAGAGCAGTGCATTAGCTCGAACTGCGTGGAACTACCAATAGGTTGTGACTGGAGAGGAAGGAAAAAAAAAAAAAAAAAGATAAAATAACAGGACAGAGATTTCTATCTGCCTGCTAAATATTTGTCTGGCGTGCTTAAGAAGGCTGGGAGTGCCTTTGCCTGCCCTGGCATCCTGCTGTCACTGCTAGCTGTGTAAGCAGCCCGCAAAGGGCCGGGGCAGTGAGCTCTGCCAGGAGCACAACTGGCTTCGGTAATTGGAACTGAAAGCAGTACCTCTCAGGCTCCCTCCAGTTCTGTGGTGCCCCAAGGCCCGAAATACCTCTCTTGTTTGTGCTCTAGCCTGTAGCAATCCAGAGTGGGGATGGAGAAGGGCTCTGGAATGAATGGGCTGTCGCTGCCTTGCTGGTTTTGTTCAGGTCCTGCTGTTAATGGGAAATGGGCTCGTTTCCATGAGGCGCTCGGTGTTATTGCACGGCAGGGAAGAAGCTTTGCAGATCATGTCCCTCCCGCATGCACAGCAGCGTGGTGAAGTGCCGCTGTCCACATCCTGTAATAAGAGCAAGGGAAGAAATGAAGATTTATGTTAACACGGGTTGAAAGTCTTTCCCAAAATCAGCTGGTAGAGCGCACAAGCACCCTCCCAAGGTTTGCAGTGGTACTCAGCTTTGTGAAGGTCTAGAATATCTCCTGCCTCCTTCGTCCCTGAACAATGTGTCTCGCTGCCCGTTTCTTGCTGACAATCTGCAGCAATCAACATATGCCATAAAAAGCACAATGTGGCCATAATCCAGTCCCCGAAGGGATGGCGAATCAGCTAAGCAGACTCGGAAGGAAGGGGAAGTGTAGGACACATGCTAGTGTTCTTCTGACAATGTTCATAGCCCTCAACCTTATGAAAAGCAATTTTACAGATTTGCTGCAGCTGTTGTTGCCCTTTGGGTCTCCCTTGAGGGCTGCCCACCCTGAGGCTTTTTGTGTTGGGGGCTCTTGACACCTTCTGCTTTCAGCAGCCCCAATTAGTACAAGCGTGCACGCACCAAGACGTGTGTGCACAAAATGCTGTGGCTTTAATTAGGTTCTGTCTTCAGCTCGCACCGTGCCAATAATGCTTTGCACCTGTCAGCTGCATGAGGGATTTCTGAAGTGGAAAGCGAGAAGCCTTTCGGCAGCGTGGTGAAGCCAGGCGTACTGGCTAGTTAATGGGAGATCTTGGGGTAGGGCCGGGAACTTTGGGCAGGCATTGAGGAGCTGCCAGCCGTGGAGGCAGCTCAAGCTGCTAGAGGAGCTGAGAGCCCAGACGTTAGCTGTCACATTGCATCCCCTTTGTTTGATTCGTAGACGGTGCTGGAGAGTGGGCAAAGTCTGATCCGCTGGCATCAACTGCCAGCAGGAGAGCACCCACATTTAGCAGGGGTCCTGAATCCCTGCAGCAAGCACATGGGCATCTCACAGGGAGATGCTGTGGTCATGGTGGGGTGGTGATTTTCCACAGTGTTGTTTCCCATGTAGCCATTCATCCAAGCTCATGGAAGAGCAGCACACACGGGACCTTTCTGTTAAAAGGGCAGGCAACATCTCTCACTGTGACACTGTCCATCGTGCTTACCTCCGCACTCAGTGAAACAGTGAATGGGGCTGATTTGTTGGTTCTGCATTTGCTGGGCCCTCATTTTAGCATTTTAACACTTGGCAGAAGTACAGGCAGTGTGCCAGAAGTTGCCTGTGAGAGCAGCATCACCGTCATAGGGTGCATAGAGAGGGCTGACATCTCCGTCACAGCACCTGGGCTTGCAGATACAATCAGAAGGAAAGCTTCAGCGGGAAATACATGCTTATGGACAAACGGAATGGAGTGCACTGCAGTGCATTTTATAAAGACACTCTCAACCCATACAGAAAGGTGTCTATTACTTAGAATGTTCTACGTCTGTTGCTGCGGTGATAAATAATTTCCACTCACGAGTGAACCCCCTGCAAAATGTTTCAGTCCTTGCTACGCTTTGCTGTTTCCTCACAACTCCCCCAGTGTCTCGATTGCTTAGCAACCGATAGCTTGGCATCCTGGAGCTGGACCACCGGGCAAGGCAGCAGTTTATGGTGGCCACAGTAGCAGAGCAGTGCTCTGGTGGAAGTGAACTAAAAACTGGCTTCTTGGCACTCCAAATGGCAGAGTATCAGTAGCACTGCATATGAAACAGAAACGCAGTTTTTCTTTCCCATTTCAAATACTGTTAAGAGATTGAATCTAAGTTTGCAGACAAGCCTGAGGCAGAAGAGATAAAAATGTTGAGTTTCAGCAATGAAGTGCATTTGCCTAAATTCAGATTCTAGTTTGTGTCTGACTATGGGTATGTTTGAACTCTCGCTGTATCTATTTTTATTCTGCTAGCTGGAGAAGCTCATAAGTGTGATTAGGTCCCCATCACATACTGCAGTTTATGAGCATAAAGGCTTCTACGAAAATGCTGAGGAGAAGAACAGCAGGGAGACAGAAGCACACACTGCGATGGGGTTTTAACAATCCTAGTTAGACAGGAGTGCAGATAAGTGCAAATATTTAAGCAATTATTTTCAAACCATGTTCCACCCCTCATATCCCCTGCCTTTTCTCAGAAACCTGCCATTTTACAGCAGCACTGTCTATAAAGGTAAAAGCATGCCATAAGAAAAAAAAAATCCAGAAAAGAATAGGCGTACAGAGTTTGAGCATTATATGTTAATCAGGTACTTAAGTTCCAGTTTTTCTCCTTTCACTTACAGGGATGCAAGAGCAAGAGGAAACTTCTGCAGAGCCTATGAAGGTTGAACTTGCATGTGAAGCAACAGAAGCTTCGAGTAATGACGGTTCGTTGTTCTAACATTTTCACTGTCATAGTACACAAGTAGCCTTCCTAAGGTCTGTCTGTATGCTTACCCCCCAGAATAAGAATTCTCTTTATTATCTCTTCAACTGAAACTTCTGGGAGCCAGCAGTGTGCCCTTGTGGCCAAGAAGGCCAGTGATATCCTGGGATGTATTGCAAAGAGCGTGGCCAGCGGGGCAAGGGAGGTGATTTGATCCTCTCCCTCTACTCTGCCCCGGTGAGGCCAGATTTAGAACACTGTCTCCCCAGTTCAAAACAGACAGGGATCTCCTAAAAGGAGTGCAGCAGAGGGCCACAAAGACGATGAAAGGCCCAGAGCATCTCCCTCATGAGGAAAGGCTGAGAGACCTGGGGCTGTGCAGCCTGGGGAAAAGATGACTTGAAGGGGGATCTGATTAATGTTCATAAATGTCTAAAGGGAGGTGGGAAGCAAATGGATGAGGCCAGGCTCTTCTCAGTGGTGCATAGCAATAGGACAAGGAGCAGTGGCCTAAAACTTGAGCATGGGAAGTTCCATTCCTTTACGGTAAGGTTGACAGAGAACTGGAGCAGGCTGCCAAGAGAGTTGGTGGAGTCTCCTTCCATGGAGATCCTCAAGGCCCATCTGGATGCCTGCCTGTGTGACCTGTTGTAGGGAACTGCTTTAGCAGGGTGTTGGATTCGATGATCTCTCGAGGTCCCTTCCAACCCCTGCAGTTCTGTGATTTTGTGAATTTCTGCTGTTACCTGTTAGAGACTTATGAAATTAGTTTTGTTTGTTTGTTTGTTTGTTTGTTTTTTACAATTATTCCCGGGTCTTTTTAGGTCTGGATGCACATTCCCAGTGGTCCATCAAGATTCAGTGGAGTGTGTTTCTCATAAAATTGAGTCCACAGCACTTCCTTGAAAGCCCTTTTCATACCTCTGCTTTTCTAATTGGCTCAGTGTATATGTTCAGTTGATACATTCAATCTGCTTGCCTTTTAACTATGCGGTATTTTAGGCCTGCTGTAATTTTGGTCTGGAAATTGATTTGGCCAAGATGTATCTCATCTCACAGAGGAGTCAGAAAATAGTATTTGTAAAAGCTTCTGAGACAGTGCCTGACTCCATCCTGAGGCAAGCATTGGTTCTATAGCTACTCTGAACTTAATGTCAATCAGAGGTCAACATGTAAGCTTGTTCTGGCTCAGAGCTGATTTCCCTTCTGAGGAAAGGAAGTCCTAGTATAACTCAGTCTGGTAGAAAACAGAAATTATTTCCCTAGAACATTTCCTGCTAATAAAACTATCATGATGCTGTGACCTAGCAGCATTTCCAGTTGGGTCTGTGAACATTAGCAACCCAATTGTCCCAGCCTGCAACTTGATGAAATAATTTTTAGTCAGTTGCTTTGGTAAGAAGATGACCTGGCTGTCTGGCTGGCATGGGCTGAGTACTAAGTCCCTGCTCCAGCTCACCATACGTAACCAGTTCTTAAACAAAAAAAATTGCCATCTGCACTCTTCCTGTGTGTAAAGAAATGCTGGATGGGATCAGGGTCCTGGTGCTTAGATTTTAGTATGGCAAACACTTTGTTGTTCTTCTGGATGGTCTCCTGTAGCTTAACGAAACCACATGGGGGACTCTTTTGGATTTTGACTGAAAGGTCCTTTTGACTGCCTCAAAAGGCAGTGTTCCCAGGTTTGGGCTTCCATTCCCCGTTTTGTTTGTCATCGTCAACGAGACCCCTGTCTGTAGTGCAGACCAATTTCTGATTCATCCCTTAATGTCTTCAGTGTTTACATAATATAAATTCAAGGCAAAAATGTTTACATCTCCAAGATAAAACTATTGCATTCCTTTTGGCATTAATTACACAAAGTATCTAATGCCAGTTTCTGTTCTCTGACATTGGATCATATTGCAGCATTTGGACTGGTGACTAATTTTGGTACTGGACCGTAGAGAAGCTTTTGTAAGAACAGGGAAAGGAAGCATGCTTAATGGGTTTGGTTGCTGGTTGGTTTGCCTTTTTTAATACTGGAGATTATGCTATTACTAGAAATTGCACAGAATGAAGCCAGGACAGCCTTCTCTCCTCATCTCCTGAAGAAATCAACCAAAAAATCCGTAGCCATTTTAGATGACATTAATTTTGGATCCCTGGAATGGCCTGGGCTACTTACCAAAAAACAAATTTACTGAAGAAATAACTGTAGGGATTGCTTTCTGAAGTGAGGAACATCCGCATGGCTACTGTGGATGTGTGCTGCAGCGCAGCACAGCTGATTCAGCTGACAGCTTCTGCAACGGTGAGCTTCACCGGTTTCTTTCCTTCCATTCTTTGCTTATCTTGTATGATCTTTTACATAGAGCTCATCTTGAAACTTCCTTTTCTGCAGAATTCCTGTTATGCAAAAGGAAAGGAAAACGGTGTTCAGTAAAGCAGCATACTCTGCCATCCCAGGAAGTCTTTTTTTCTCCACAGCCTAATTTGCTATCGGGATCACAGTACAGGGTTGTTTTTAGGCAGTCCTACATTGCATACTAAAAATAAATACAGAATCCTATATCTAAAAAGAAAAAGGTTGAAAAAAAGACCGGATTCCTCATGTATCTGATGAGTTTATCTCACTGAAAAAAAGCCTCCGAGATTTCTGAGTGTACCAGGTACTAGTTGAGATTTAAAGCAAAACAAAACATAAAAAAGATTCCCTCTGATGGTAATTTTAATGTAAATTGCCTATTTTTCCTCTGGTCCCCTTCCTTCTGCCCCAGGAGAGCACTTCCCAGCTGAAAGCACAAGACTGTCTCACCAGGTTCCCCTCAGCATCTCAGCTCCGGTTTTTAATTTCATGTGCAATGTCACAGTGAAAAGTGCTCCATAAACACAGAGTGTAGAGAGAGTTGAGGTGGTTCTCAACATGTGTCCATCTAGTGGGCAGGGCCTTCATAGTGATTTCAGAATTTACTAGAATTTGAGAACTGGCCATGATGGCCCATCAGGAACTGTCGGGGTGTTTGTGTGTGTGTGTGTGTAAGCACAAATAGGTGTGGATATACAGTAATACTGATTGCTGCTCGTGATCTCCATTGGAAACCAGAGCAAAGATCTCTGGATATTAAATTTCTTGTGCCCAGAACAGATTTTCTGGTTCGTTGTTTAGCGATGACAAAAGCAGTCTTTGGTAACTGGTTTCCCAGGTAGTGTTTCACTGCCCAGAGACAATTTTTTTTTCTACTCTGCCAAAGCTCTAGAGATTACAGAGGTAGATGTTAGTTTGCAGCTGGTATTAGGCGGATCAAGCTCTTCACTCCTTCAATAATGGAGTTACTCATTGGCCTTTCTTATTTCAAGCCTGTGGAAAGCTGCATCTTGACTTGCTGACAGAACAGGAGAAAAGAAAAAGATGCAGCAAGCACAAAAGAAGAGTCAAAAGTGAAACTTCAGTTTGTTTCATAAGCCACTGCAAGGTGATGAGTGTGGCACCAGTGCCCTGACCTCCACGTGACTCACAGAAGCGACACAAAAGCAAGATCTCAGCAGTTAACACCATCACACATTGTTTTTGTAATATCCTAGAGGCGAGTAACTACCAAGAAAACAGGTGCACGTATATCATTGCAGCACAATCAGTTTGATTCAAAATAGGTAATTTTCTTTCCTGAGCAATCTGGAGTTACAGCTGAGTGTGCGATAGCCAAGTGATATGGACGCAAAGGGAGACATTGTTTAGGAAGCAGCTGAAGAAACAGATGACATTTGCAAGTAGCAGTCTGACCGACCTCCTATTTAAATCAATACAATAATACTTTTCTTTCATCTGCCATCCAGATCTACAGCACGTTATCCTCTGGGGAAAAGCGTGTCGTCTCTTTCAGACAACTCTGAACTTAGTTTTCCAGCCTCTGATTTACCTGTCTTCTCTGCTTAGATGCCGTGCCATGACTGCTGGCTCCGTGACCTTTAAGCACGCGGCCGGCTCACAGGGAGAGGAGGGATGCTGTGGAAGCACGGCCACCACTTTGCATGTGTGAACTCTGCGCCCCTTGTTTTTTCTCCCCTTGCAGGGAACTTGCTTGTTTTTGAGGGGAAACTCTTTCGCAGTCTTAATTTGAGAGCTGCTCAGCAGCTCACAGATGGAGAGAGGAGATGCACACAGGTCCTCCCCAGCAGGCCAGAATTTAAGTAGAAAACAGACAGAAGACTCCGTTTCTATTGCACAGAAGTGCCTATTTCTGTCTTAAAAAGCCCCCACACGAAGCTCCAGAACTGGTAAAGCTGCATGTAGATGATGGGCAGCTGCCTTGAACTTCAAGTGCTCTGCTGAGCTGGCAGCTCTAGATGTGTGTAATGTGATTTAGCAGTTTAACACACATAAAAACTTCTAGTGGCAAGAAGCCTGTTTCTGGCTTGCATTGTGATTAGATGTAGCACACTTGGGGCCAACCAAATTGTTCCAGCACCGACTCGTGCCGTGAGTCTCGTTCCCCTGTTCCTGGTGGCAGCCCCTCCATCTGCTCCTCAGTAGGTGCTCCGTGGCTTTTCAGGCTAAGTGTCAAGGATTACGTAGGTGGCCTCGTAACAACATCTGTTGTGGGGGTTCACCCAGTGGTCTGCAGAAGCTTATCCTCCAGTTAGATCTTTCTGTCCCTGTCAGTGTTAATGCAAAGAGCTGAGCTTATTCACCCATACGTGGAAAAAAGCTGATGGTGAAATCCTTGGGCACCTCAGTTCTTCCCACTTCCCCTCTGGCTCCATGTTTCAAGACTCCCTGTGCTTTTGCATTGCCCTTCGAGAGGTGCTGGGTGGTTTGCATCTCACCCGCTCCGATGTGACGTGCTGTCAGCTAGAGCAGGGATGGCTGTTGGTAGCTTTTAAAAAATGCAAGAGGGGGGAAAGAGGCATGGTCGTTTGGGATGCTGACAGAGCTTGACCTCGGGTTTCAAATGAAGCTTTGGTTTTGAAAGAAATCTCTTTGAAATGTGAGCAAAGCCTTCTGGTACTTACAGAAAACCAAGCTGGTGAAACCGGCTGGCATAATGAGGCTGAGAAAGGCTGCTGTCATCAGTGCACAGCAGCCTTCCCTTAATGATTTTTTATTAAGCATCCTGTCTTTGCTATGCAAATGCAGACGAAGAACACAACATCACTAAATGCGATGTGCATCAGAGCTCCATAATCAGGAGCGGATACTTTTCTTGTTATTCATTGCATACATCCAGGAAGCCATTATGGGATCTGTTCTGCATATGGATGATGAATAATTTACAAATAATTCATCACAATCCTAACAGGTGTATTGACACGATATTGACTCAGAGATCGTACTGCCTGGCTGGAAGTAGCTATTGATTTTTGGCCTTTTGTTTCCCTTGTCTTCCCTTAGTTTCCAAATCTCTCATTCAGGTTTGAGGGTTTTCCTGTCGCACGCATCAAATGACTGCAGCTGAGACCGCAAAGTAAGGCAAGGTTAAAAGCAGAAAAATGTATAAATGGCCTCGATCAAATTCATTTCAGAGCAGATACTAACTACTACTCATCCTACAAATGCATGTGCTGAAGGAACCCTTTTGTGTTTAGCCAATCACACGTGCCACTGTTGATTTGTCATGACATCTAAACTATGGTCATATTGAAATGCACTTAAGCCTTCCATGTAAATCATCTCTTTTTTTTTTTTTTTTGGCAGTAATTTTATATGTAAAAATAATATTGTTGGGGTAAATTGATAGTACACTAGTAAACTAGTACATGTGGGAATGTAGTGCTGTTGCCCCTCCAGCAGTTTGCAGTTCAAGGACAGTCAAAGGCAGAGGCAGCATCACTGCAATTAGAGGTGGATCTGCATCCAGCCCCCGGCGCAGCCCAGGTCCTGCTGGCAGTGTTCACATCAAAGGTTTTGCTCTCAGCCAAAGGCTCCATGCAGGAAATCCTTCCTCTTTCGTTCTCACATGGGGAAGCTAAGAGATCTGCAGCCCTCATTAGCATGGCCAACATGAAAAATCTCCGCGTCAGGTGCCAAATAAATGATTGTGTGTCCGTGTCACCCCCTCACTGCAGCACAGCAACACGCCAGCAGTAGCAGGTAGGGGTCAAGACCACTTTGCCTGGTGAAGCTCTAAATCACCCCTTGGAAGTACCTATACATCTGCTGGTTGCCTACAGAGACAGAGGAGGGTTGTTTAGTTCGTCAGCTGGCCATTTTTCGTAGGCGCCAGAATGAAATTCAGTGCATTTGGATGAAAGTGAAAATCTGCATCCAGAGGCTTGGCATTTCTAGCGATGCTGAAGCGTATAGCCCATGCAGAACCACTCATCAGAGATTCTGTGTAGTTGCAGATTAAGACAACTGGCATAAGAGATACATAGATAGAACACAGAATTTTTAGTGTGATAATTGAACTCTGTGCCTTTTGGGCAGAGTGGTTCTTACTCAAGGTGATAAACTTCACATGTATTGTGAGCAGCATTTGAACACTGTCTTGTTTTGTTTTCAGCTGAAATGGATAATCAAGTTGAAAGTATAAAAGATCCAATGGAAACTGTGCCAGAAGCTTAACTAATAGGTAAGATATTTACGGCTATTTTCCTCTGCATTTTCCATTTTGGTTCTATTTGAAAACTCAATTTAAAAATGAGTTAGGACACACCAAAAAAAAAAAAAAAAAAAAAAAAAGGGGGCTAATAGGCTAATAGGGCTTCTATTGCACAAAAGGATAAACATCTCGTGTAGACTTGATTTGTCAGGTAAGGATGGCAGCAGCATTCTGCAGCTGTGATGGCTTTGGACAGTGCGTGGTCTTAGATCATGAGAAGGCTGGACAGCAGTGAGATAAGCAGTGGAAGAGTAACGGAATGAGTGAGATTTGGCATCGCTTTGGAAAATGATAGGCAATTTATACTGGTCAGAACAGGTTTCAGTTCTGTGCGATCCACATGCTGGGAGCAACAGGCTCACATCACGAGGGCTTTCCTTCCCTTGGCTCTGCAGTGCCCCACATCACTTGTGACTGCACTGCTGTAAAGCAAGACAAAGGGAGCAAGCTGCTTTCTGGAGCTGTGCAGCATTTCAGAGCTTTACTGTTTCATGTGCCAGATGACGGTGCTATTGCAAGAGTGCACGATGGTAGCTGTTGCTGTGGAAGTCTTTGTGGATGGTAAGCAGCATCAGCCTTACATAAAAATGAGTAATTTGCTAGGAAGACAACAGTCCAGGCCCACCCCAGCTACAAGAAGGAGTTCTACATCTATCTCAGAACAGAATTTTTAAGCATTAATACACAGCGCTGCCTCGGCATTGTCAATATCACACACAGCAAGGTGTGCTATTTATGTAATAGGATTTCGTGTAGCTCAAGACCAAATATAGAAGCTTTACAACAGTGGCAGCTGTATTGGAGAGATTTAAAATACAAGGTCTTATTACTGAGCACGCCCCTTTGCCCTTGTCAGCATACTGACAATATGCTGCTGTACTGCTGGAGCGAGAAATACAGCTGATGGTGTCCCTGCTAAAAAGTACCAACACACAATGAGAAAGAGCCTTTGCAATTAAAATTCGGCTTCCACAGCTCTTCCTTCCCCCTTCCCGAGCCTCCTGTCATATGTTCTCGTAGAGAAAAAAAGGAAAAGAAACTAATAAAATTTTCAGAGTTAAAAATACAATGAAAGGTTAATACCCTTCACTCGTTTTAAAAATGGATGTGACAATTATCACGGCTTTCACGTGTTCTGTAGGAGGGTCTGCATTTCAGCCACGTTTTCCTATGGAAATTAATATCTCTGAATGTTTTGGGCTGCAGTCATTTTTGCTGTATGAAGGTGAAGTTCACCAGAGTAGCACCACAATTAGCAATTAATTAATAAATGTCCTCAATTCTACTGCAAGGTCTCATTCTCCTGGCACCTCTCTGAAGCAAAAGGGGCCTGAGCCAGCCTGCAGAAAGACTTTCCCAGCATTTTAATGGCAAGTGTGGGATTAGAAGTAGAAATTGAACTCTTTGCAGCTCTCCATTTGGGTCCTCCTGACCTTTCTGCTTTGTTTTAATTGCAAGGAGCAGGTATGTGGGGGAGGACCAGTCAGCGCGTTAAGCGTCCAATGTCTCTGTTCACCACATTTACTATTAAATGTGGTGCTTTTGAAAAATGTTGTGCACCAAAGCACCACCAGTGCCAGGGACCTCTGATAGCTGAAAGGAGGGCTTGCTAGGTGGCTTGTTGCTGTGGGAAAACACAAGACCCTAATTAGTGCTGCCAGTTTGCATTACCGATTTCCAGAGCTGTGCTTCTTCATGAAGCCATGGGTCTGGGACCAGCTGCCTGTAAGGTCAGGGATCATGTCAGAGCTCTGTGAGTGTCTGCATGAGCAAGCATCTCCACAGCACCGTGCATGGGATGAGTGCTGCGCTTCTGATTGCTGATTGGCCCCTGCTGCAAAAAGCTGAGGTGTTTAAAATGTGCCTGAAAGATGAGTTCTGTTTGAGCCCCAGCGATGAGGAGGCAAGAGAGAGGAATGTTCTGAAGGATAGTTTGGGGCAGGAAACGTCACTCTGCAGAAGTTTAGCTCAAAAAGCATGGGCAGGTTCATAGGATGAAACAGGGAGGAAACAATAGACAGGTTATGAATTGGAGGAAGGCCTAGCTGGTTTCTTGTGTCTTATCCCTTACATTATTGCCTTGGATTTTCTAACAAAATAATATGGACAGGTGGAGGAGGTCCCAGTTCCCAGATTATCACCAGGGCCAGTATCTAGTTCAAACTGATGTGCCATGCTGCGAGCAAGAGAATTTATTCCAGTGATTCACAGAATAAATGTGTGCATGAAGCTACAGACTGGTGACCAAGGCACTCTGTTAAGGCAGGAATAGTTTACCATGTCCTCATCAGCAGAAGAGAGAGGTGCTGCACTGATATGAGACACCACTGAGATAACTGTAGAGGTAATATATGTACGTACACCACACGAAGCACACGTTTTGTGTGTGTGATGGATAGGGAAACCTTTGGCTTCTGCATTAGGAAGGTGAGACTTGAAATCTGTGCGTTATTCTTAATTTTTGCCTTTTTTCTTTCTTTCTCTCTTCCCCTCTAGGACGAAAGAAGGATGCAGGAGACAAGAGACCCGACAAAACCCAAAGGGCAGAAGCTGACATCCTATGGCATCATTCTTGGCAGAAGAGAGCACACAGAGGTGCTCGGTGGGTTGGGAGGGAGGGAGCTTTGGGGAAATGACTCTTTGCTTTAATTTCTCTTTGTTCTTCATTGCGTTTTGTTCTGTAAACCTGTTGGAAAGAAACACAGTTTCCCAGTTCTGATGATGGTTTGCAATTATTCCTGCAATTACAACAGTTACTTCTGAATGACAAGTCCCTGTGTTATATCGGGTCTCTTTTCCTCCTCCATCATATTGTTAGCCCGTCTTCAGGTCCACCCCTTTTCTAGCATCTTTATCTTCCTCCCCAGTTCTGATACTGTCTGCAGGCAACTTGTGGGAGCACGTTTATTCCCTGCCCCCCCCGCCCTGTTTTTTTAAACTGTTCCCTAGGATACCAATGGAGATTTGCTTTAAGAACATGAACTGCCACAAAGGATTATAATCTACACGCACCAATAAACAACATCCCTCCTCGTGCTAGGGATTTGAAAGAAGAGACTCTCCAAAATCTCAGATATATTGACAGAGACAGCCCTGCACATCGCCTGCCTCCCAGCTTGTCGATCAGCAGCTCCTGGCAACTTTTCTTAATGCAGAGCAGTCAGCAGCTCCCAACCCAGTTGCTTGAAGAGTCAGTGGCCGGACTCTGAGGGCGCGCCGTAGGCAGAGCCTGCACATTAACACTATCTTCTCACTTACCTGCTGCCTCAGTATTTCCCCTGCCTCTACTTTTTGCAAGCCCAAAGGAGATCTCTGAGGTGCAATAAAGCTAAACGGTGACAAGCCTGCACCATGCCATGCCCCTCCACAGATCTTGGGTGCAAATAACGCATGGCCTCAGTCAGTACCCCAGATCAATCTGCCTCTTTTCCAGAGAGGTCTGTGCATGTCAAAATCCATGTGCCATAAGTACAACCTTCACGTTGGGGCAGGCAACACGTTTCCTGGAATCTGTGAGCAAAGGAGGATAGCAGGCATTCTGCATTTAAAACATCTTTAAGTATGGCTTCTGGCTTTAACAGCTTCACACTGTATCTCATGTGAGCCCTCATTATATTTCCCACTGCATATACATGATTTTTTTAAATTAAAAAAAATCAATTAACAGTTATTTGGATAAGAATGTCTTACCATATGTCAACTGGTCTGCCAGCAAATGCCACACAGAAATGTTTAGAAGAGGAACAAAAGGATTTTACGTACAGTTCTGTGCTACACTGCAAATGAAACTAGTAGAAGATACGCACAACGGAAGAGCACACAACCTGTCCCCGGGCTACAAACCATATTTCAAAATGCCATGGATAATAATTGGATCCTTTTAAATAAAGTAGCTGTGGTGGTCTCTCTTTCCCAATCCTGAATAGGCACTAATCCCAAATCAATTATTTACTACTAAAAAACAAGGCAAGACATTTTCCAAGATGTGGAAGGATGTCCATCCTCCTGTGATCTATGTTTATCCCAGGTATAGGAGCTTTGGCGATAAATTCTCCTCCAGCATAACAGCAAGTAAGCTGTGTCCCTACGGAATATAGCATCAGCTATGGCACTTGATGGCTGCTGTCTGCTGCAGGTTGATTTGGAAGAGTGTCAAGACAAACAAGGATTAGAAAAGAAAACAACAAAGGCTCCAGATTTCCCCATGAGAGCACGCACAGCTCCTAGGAACACTGCCTCCTTTCACCTTGTGTATGGCTCCAGCACATTTGCTTTTTGTGGTATCTTTGGTGGATGAATATTTCTGCGTGCCAGCTCCTGTGGCATTTTGCACCATATGGATGTCATGCCAGAGAAGATCTCAAGGAGATTCTTCATCATACAGTTCTTCTGGAGATTAGTGGATACTTGGAGTTGGGTCAGCTTTAGAAGCAACATCATAAGCCTTTTAATCTGTCTTATACTCTTGCTAGTTTTCCTAGAGAGAGAAATACCCTCTAGCTCTACATTTTGGACTATATTCACTTTGAAGCCACTCTTCTGTTTCTCTTTCTCATCCCTGTTAGCTTGCCAGATGCAAAAAAATGCATCTTCTAGGACATGGATATTTTCCTAATGTTCCTTCACTTTTCCAGCAGATTCCAGTTTTGTAGATAATGGCTTTGCAAACAGTGCATCTCTGCAATGCACATCCCTTTCTATGTGTCTTCTGTACTTGCTGATTTTGATTTAAACAGCCTGTCATAAAAGAAGGTGGAAGAGTGGGAGGAAGAGGAAAGAATGCATCAGGTATCTCTCGCCGCAGTTCCTCCGTTAATGCTGTCTCTGTGAAAAGACAAAGATCAAAGGGATCCATTTCTCTGGGAATGTGAGGGAACTGCCTCCATATGTCATGGATTAGATAGGGAAAGTTCATCTTTGAATTGATCAAAAACATGGAAGACAACCGAGATTGCCAGGTCCTCAGCTGGGGTAAACTAGCCTCAACAGAGCTGTCACATATCCCTCAAGCATTTGCTAGCCTTGTTTTTAGCAAGGAGGCTGGCCATAGAAGCACAACTGTTTGGAGACAAAGGCTCATCTAAGTCCTTGCAAAGACCAACTGAAATAAAGAACAATAAGTAACTGCAAAAATGCCTCATGTTAGACATGATATTTATAACCTTTGACAGTAATTTCATTGCACTCTTCATTCAGCCTTGGTCTCTGAATGGCAGCAAGCCTCTGAAGCTGGGAAAGGTTCTCCTGAAGACGCAGCAGCAAGTGTGACGTTTAGAAGTGTAGGAAGTGTTGAATAAATAAATGTATGAGTTGATTAAATCCTTGCAGGGCGATCTTCAGATAGGTCTCTCTCTTTCTTCCAGTGGATTTTCATTTTGTTATGGCTTCTTTCATTTTTCACTCACATAGAGTGGGCAGAGTTGGGTGGTGTGAGTTCCTCAGTTGGGTTTGCTGGTTGCAGCTGGGCCCACGCTCCTCCACACAGTCTCTGCCGATGTGACAGGAAGTATAGAAATGTGGGAGCTGGTACCTGGCATAGAGGGGAAGCCCCTGCCTGTTGGTGTCTGCATGCAAGGTATCAGACTCTGCTTTAACGTTGCAGCTCCTATTTCTGAAAGTGTGGTCCCTGCTGTGAGGCTCGCTGATCCTCCAGCCAGTGACTGCTCCAATGATGGGCAGGTTTCCTTCCACGCCGACCTCCAAAGAAGATGTCTGAGACATCATCTGTAATGCTGGGTCACACATTCACTGCAGCTAATTGCAAATCTTTCTATAAAGCACTGAAAAAGCCTCATTGTGAATTAACACTGTTCTGCTTTATGCACTTGATCAAAAGGAAAAAAAAAAGACATTTCTCTATATGCAGTGCATGCCTGCTTTGCTTTCAAACCGACAAACTTAGCAGAGTATGTCGGATCTATTTTCTCGGGGAAGAGGGGTTTTTATCATACAATTCATCTGGGATTTGCCTTACCCTGACATTTGTGATATAAAGGAAGAAGTTTTAAAAAAAAAGAAAAAGTAATTTTCTTGATCAAAAATATGTTTTTACTTAAATGCAAAGAAATGTAGACTGTTGCTTGCAAAATGTCTTCTAATAGATGGTATAACAGCTATATAGACTAATCCATGCCTCTTTTGTTACTCTGTTGTTTATGTGCAGAATTCGCTTCCCAGTCTGTTGTTTTTCCTTTTTGTCCATGCCATACAACAGAAAACTTAAGGAATCGATGCCTTCACACATTTGTTTGTTAAAGCAAAACCTTAATAAAACTTGTTCTGAAGACAAGCCCACATCGCTCGTGTGTTTTTTTCCTCCTGACTTTGCCAATCATATGGCAAGAGCCTTCGTTGTTACAAAGGCACCCTTCAGGCTGGATAGCAACTGTGTTGTAGACTGAATATAGTGTTGCCATTATAGTTGAGTCTTGTCCTTGTCAACTGAATGTTGTGTTGGCATGATAGCTGTAGTTTGGAAGAAATGGAGCCATCAGAGAGACTTTTGGAAGGCAACAAAGTGAGGTAAGGACGGGGACTTCTCAGCCTGAAGGGGAAGTGATTGTTTGATTGACCCTTCATTTTTTGTCTTAGTAGCAGCGAGTTAACCTCAGAGGGAAAATACCAGCAATATCTGTAAAACAGTACCTTACTGAATGTCGTTGATGAACATTGCTCTTCTTTTATTGCTTTAGTTTACTTTTTTTTTATCTGAGGAAAGTTGCAGTCTAGAAGGACATGCCTGGTTTCCTAGATCTGCTGCAAAGAACTTTTTCTTTTTTTCCTCTGTAGCAGGCCTACATTTTTGAAAGGAAATAATAAGGAAAAATTCATGTCTCACATGAGAAGCAAGTAAATTGCATCCCACTCTTTAGCACAGGGCTGAGAGGAAAAACCTCCTTATTTTTGGAGGCCAAAGAAGGCTACTCAGAGCTTCACAGCAGTACAGCGGTACAAACGTACAGCAGTGTTTGTCTGGGAAAGGAGAATTAGGCAAGGAGCAGGTAAGCCTGCTAGGAAAATACAATGAACAGTAAAATGTACTTTTTATTTTATTCCTGTATTCTGTGGCCCAATTGACATCCTTTTCCAAGTCATGTTTGGAAAAGGAGCAGATTTCTGACTGGGGAAATAAGTTTTTCTTAGCTGATGCACATGAGGGTCAACCTTGGCGAGCTTCTCTCAGAGCAGCTAGGATGTCTGTTGTGATTTCCATGAGAAGGCTGGCTTAGCCACACAAATGCTGTGTACCTGAGAGGAGCAGCTTGTGCTTGTAGTTGGCTTGGCTTGTTCTTCCCCCCTGATGTAGCAGAACTCCTCTTCCACAGACATACAGGATGAGGCCTTTGAAGCCTTTGTCCAAAAGTGAAAATTGTGATACAGGGCTTTCATTAGGCTGGAGTTTGTAATATTTGGTTTTTGTTGGTGATGGTGGGTTTTTTTCCCCTTAAATGAAAGTGTTGAGAGATGTTTAACTACCCTCATTCCATTAGAATCCTCAGTAACTCCTTCAAGTATGTGGCAAATGACTATTAATTCCTTTGAAATTCACTGATAAAATATTTCTTATAATGAAGTTCTTTAGTGAAGGGGGGAGTCCTGATTCAAACACAGCAGTGGATTAGGCCAGTGCTCAGGCTCCTGCTGTACTCAGGATGGAGATGCAGTTGGTAGAAGATCCCTTGTTTGGCATCTGGAGGAGAATTTGGATTGGGGGCTTATGCACGTCCCAATCAAGTGAGACTGCTTCCTTGATGAGAGAGCCTAACTGTGTATGCTCTGGTGGAACTGTCAAGCAGGGTAAGCTTTTTTGTTTGCTCTGTGTATATTCACATACCTGTTACTCCTGGTCCAAAGATGCACATTGCCCCTAGCCAGCTTAAACCCAGCCCGTCCAATCCTGAAAGGACATCTGCAGCACCCATGCTTGTATTTATGCTCTGGGGAGGAAGGGGAGGCTTTTCAATAAACTCAACAGTTAATTATTTGTGAACAAAAAAGAAGTTTTGTCGAAGTATTTTGTAAGTTCTCATCTGTCAAGTTAGTACTATTAGCATTTAGCCAAACAGAGCATTACAAATGAAAGTAAAAAGAACTGTAATGTAATCATAAAAACATACAGCACTACATATTTGCTATCTGCACCACCACCACTTCACAGTTTATCTTTTAATTCCTGGAATGATGCTCTACTTGTATTAATGAACTATTTATTATTTCAAAGCTTTAACATTTTGGAGAGTCTGATCTGTGGCAGAATAGCTGTAGCAGCTGTTGAAAGCCTTACTGCTGCTCTGTCAGGCTCAGTCTTCTCACTTACACAGTGCTGCCACAAGCTGCATGCTATACCCCATTTCTTTGAGCTGAGAAGATGTTACCAGCAAAATCTTGACTCTTATGTAACCAAGTATTTCAGAACAATCAGAAAATCCCTGCTGCTGCTGTGCCCTTTATGTCATAGCCCTATCTGTGTTATTTTTGCAGGAGGAAGAACCCCAGATTCCACTAGGTCCCTCCTGCACCAGCAGCAGCCCTGGCAGGAGACCCAACACCATCAGGTGCAGATCTGTTCTCTTTTGGGTTTCACTGCACAGCTTGGAAGGGATGCAAAGAAACACCCTACAGCAGGCAAATTGTTAGCAGCTGAAACCATCAAACTTTAGCACTGGGCCAGCATCTTGCTCAAGCCATAGCAAGACTGCCCAGGATGAGTTTGTGCCCAAGATTATCTACTTGCAAATATAACTGCAGCAACACACTCTAACAATTCAATATAAGACTGATGTGTCTCTTCATGCTGGCCAGTCTGCTTCCTGAGCACACCAATCCTTTGGTTGTTCTGATGCTCCTGCAACACTCGTGCAGAAGACTGCTCTGGTTGTTTCAGGTCCCACAGAGTAACTCAAATTTGACAGCAAATCCTTGCCATACATCTGTGAGGAAGCAAGGCACAGCTGCTGCTCTTCAGCAGCCTCCTCAAAAAACACTAACATCAGCAGACACAGCTGGTTTGTGCAGCTGAAATTGGAACTCCCCCCCCAGGCACTAGAGGCTCCAGTGTTCTCACATTCTCTGGGTAGTGTGTGCACCTATACAAAATCACCTTTGCAACAAGTTATTCTTCTACTTGGCCCTGAAGCCTTGGCTTTATTCCTTCTCATAGCCCAGAGGAAGCCAGCCCCAGAGCTCCCAGTGCTGGAGCTCTGCACATCACCTGCAGCCATGCAAGAGAAATAGTTGAGGTGTTAAATCCCTCCAGCCAGACTCTTCTGCAGCAATGCAAGCCGTCTGCTCATCACCAAGAACTGCTCCTTCCCGCAGCCCCATCCCTCACCAAGACCTTAATCTGTCCCCACATTCCCTCCAGCCCCTTTACCTGGTGAAAGGAGAACTGCAGGATGACCTCTAATCACCAGCAGATAGTGTTTACACCAAGGTCCTACATTACAATGCTGGAATAAAAACAAAAAACAAAAACAACAAAACGAGTTCAGTTGCTGCATCTAGATGATGGGATAGAGCTGCCTAAGTATGTTCTATCATGTTGACAACGTGTGGCATTTGGTTTAATTTTTTAGTGTTTTGATTGAGTTGTAGGGTTATTTTTGTTACTGGAGAGAGCTGCTAGTCACACCATGTACCCAAGGGCAGTAAGACCCAAAATTCAGCACAGGAGCCCATCAGTAGGCCAGAGGATTTGGGTAGAAGGGAGATACAGTCATGACTGGGAAAAGGAGGAGATGGTGGAACACGGGGCAGGTTTTACTGCAGCATCACACCTTCTGTCTTTCTGTCCTAGCTGCCTGAAGACTTTTCACTCCCAATTAATCTCCAGCACCCTGATGCAAGACAAGAATCAGCCCTACATTTTTATTTATCTGATTCTTTTTTGGAAGGCAGGGCATTTCAGGGGCACCATGTATACAGTAAATATGAGGGGAATGAGGAGCACCTCCTTGTCCTGAAAAGTCGTAAAGCAGACAGTCACAGTCATTAAAAAAAACCATCCAGAGACACCCTTTAACAGCCAGGTTAGGCATGAGCAGGAGGTACCCATGACAGCTATGAAATGCAACATATTCATGCAAGACCTCGGAAAGCAAAGACCTGCAGGGATTTGCAGCCCCATAGCCAAAACAACGAGGGCTTTCCATGGGACAGGATTACTGGACACTGCTGCTGGAGACAAGGATCAAGAGCAGCGGAAGCAAGGGAAAGTGAATTCAGTCTCAGTTTAAGTGGTGAGGCAGCATAATGAGGAAGGGAGCTATGAATGGCAGCCCCAGGGCTGTTTGGGGTGACTCCAATGCATGCACTGAAGGAGAGGGCCACTCACCAAGGGATGGGGCTGAGCTGCCTCCCAACCACAAGGGCATGAGTGCAGCACAAAGCACTGGAGCAGGATCATAGCACAACCACACTCACTACAGACCAACTTTTAGCTGGTTTTCAAAGTGAAGCCTCTACTCACAGCTATGGGGGTCAAGCAGCTGAACAGTACATGGCCTCAGAACTGGCCACCCTGGGCACCCCAAGCCACCAGCCCTAGGGGAATGCAGGCTTATCAGGCCAGGAGGTCCACCAGCCCCAGCTCATCTGGGAAAGTGTGAGTCCCACAACTGCAATACCTTTTCTCAGATCATACCTCACATGTGGCAAGCATTTTACAAGACAACAAAAAAAAAAAAAAAAAGAAAAAAGAAAGAAAAAAAAAAAGATGAAAGAACAGAAATAAACCCATTGGCTGAGAAGTACAACATGGGTGTGAACCTTGGGAGCCAGCACAGATCAACAGTGTTGTGGCAGAAGAGAGCTGCTGTCCATCAGGAGGGTGGCCTAAATATACAAAATAAGTGACAGGAACGGATGGAAAAAATAAAGGTTGATGTAAACAAACAGCAAAAGAGTCTGAAATAGACAAACTGGAGAAGGGTTTGTTTCAGGGCCATGTTTTCCTGCGGAACACAATATATTACATCCCCCCCCCCAAGTGACAAAGCTGTAACCTGGTCTCTGTAGAGGTTACCTGCTCCATAGCAGTCTATGAGCTGGGCTCCTACAGCCAGGTAGCTTTAATTAAATTATCAGGTTTAGGACCTGCTTATTGGATGTTTCAAGTATCGCAACAGTTTCTGGCTGCTTTCTTTGCTGCTATTGTTGATACAGCATCAACACCACAGTTGTGTACTGACTTCATCATATTCTAAGAGCTGGAGGTCGCACCCTGAAAACGGTTCTCTCCAGTAAACTGGATGCAGTCAACGTTTGATGAGTGCTTTTGTGAGAATGCAGAATGAGAGCTGCTAACAAGCAGGAGACAGGACAGGGCAGGAGAACAGACAGCCTGTAACTGTGCTGGGATCGCTTCAGACCTCCAGGATGAGGCTGCACACCACTGCACTCCCAGAGCTGACTGCAGAGGATATCACATCCACACCCATTTTCTCTCAGGGCACTTACAAGCTCCCCTCTGCCATGCCAGCCAGCATGGATGAAGACAACCAGGTTTATCCCATAGCTGCTCCTCAGATCCTCCCCCAGACCCTACTTTGCAGCTGGCCAAGGAGTTCTGCCTCCAATCCCCAATGGGCAAAGAGCTGTGCAACACAGGTGTACTCAATTACTACACTCTCACGTCAGCTCTGGTTGTCCCATCTTTGGGAGAGGAGATGGATTCAGAATGTGTTCCCAGAGAAGTCAAGTCGAAGGATAGGATTTCGGAACCCTTGTTTTACAACAAGTCCAACACCACCTCCACATACACAAAGATGCAGAGATTCTCAGTGCACACAGATGCGTTCTATTCTTAATCAAAGCCAAGATATTCTTAACGCCCACAACCTACAAGCGCTTAAAAAGCAGATGCTTGACACTCACCTGTGCTAGCAGGCAGGGCCTGACCACAGATCCCATTTGAATGGCAACTTTGCACCCAAGCAAGTGCTAAGAGCAAGTCCCCAGCAGCTGCAGAGGGCTGAGGGCAGGAAAGGAACGAGGTGGCTGTGTGCCATGTCTCACCAATCCATAATGGTGGCTTTTGGGAATGGTTGATTCATTCTTTAGTGAGTAAAAATATAACAAAGAGTAATAATAATAAATAAAAACCCTCTGTTCCTTGGCTAGCACATCATTAGAAATGTATCTATCTGAAATAATTAAAATTAAAAAAAAAAAAAAAAATTGGCATGTTTCTTCTCCATAAAATTGCCTCTGAGGCCTTGCAAAGCCAAGTGCATTTGCAGAGTGGGAAGGGGAAAGAAGAGATTAAAATAATTACAGCTTTCCTTGAGTGGGTCTGCTTAAGAGGAGATTAAAAAAAGGCACGTCGAAAAATCCCCTTGACTCCAACCTCTGCTGGCGCCCATCTGCCATGTACTTAAGCCACCTCGGCTGCGCTCCCAGCCCGGCCCTTGGAGGCTCTGTGCATCAGGATGTGTGATGCTTCCCCTAGAAAATGAGCCTGGAGATGCTCTTGACAAAAATGCCTGCAGGATGCAACACATCATCCCCATAGCATCAACCCAGCTTTGTTTGGTTCCCCCCCCCCCCGGCTCACACTGAGGGGAGCATGGCCACTGGCCAAGCCCATGGCCATGGCACGCACGTGTCATACATACCTCTGTGCTGGCTCTCAGAAGTACCACTGGATCTGGTGCTCTATTTACTGCCAAGCTCTTGACCAGCTTTGTAGTCCTTTATCCATATTCACCCCACTCCTCTCACAGGAGCACTGTGAATGAAGATGCTGGAGAAGAACCACATCTTGCACAAGTTCAGCATCTGCAATAACCTGCAGTGGCACAGATCCACTGGTGTCGGAGCCACATGGCTTTGCAGGACATCCCCAATGCACCAAACCTGCCTGCTTTGTTCCCAGTTTTCCCTAATTCCTGACAGACACAGAGGATGTGCTTTGTCTGTGATACTTTGGGGTGAGCTGGGTGGCACTGTGACATAAAACTTTTTTGAGAAGGGAAGGGAAGGGAAGGGAAGGGAAGGGAAGGGAAGGGAAGGGA